GATCCGCGCCGCCGGCGGCCTGCTGGTGGCCGCGGCGGGCAACGGTGCGCGGCGGGAACGAGGGGCGGGCGCAGGGGGGTGCTGTAGGGTGCTGTGCTCTGTGCTGCGTTCGTTTGCTGCGCTGCCCTGCACACAGCGGTGGGCACAGTATCCTTGCATGCGTACCGTACCGCCCCCTGTACCGCAGACGGCCACAGCTACAACAACTGGTACTACTCCAACTGGGTGTACCCTGCGGGACTGTCGCACGCCAAGTACGGCATGGATCATGTGATCACGGGTGGGTGGTTGTTGTGGTGTGGTGCTGGTGCTGGTGTGGTGTGGTGTGGTGTCTGTCTCTGCCTCTGTCTGCCCCTGCCTCCGCCTTTGCCTTTGCCTCCGCCTCCGCCTCTGTCTCTGTCTCTGCCTCTTTGGTTGGGTGTGGTGTGGTTGGGTGGGGTGTGGGTGGTGTGGGTGTGGCGTGCACAAACCACGCGTTCCTCTTCACCTCCCGTATCCTCGCCGCCTCCTTCCTTCTGCCTCTGCTCCTGCTGCTTCCCCTGCTTCTGCTTGGGTGTGGTGTTGCAGTGGGTGTGCATGTGCGCATGTGGTTGGATCCCGCTGTGGCAACGTTGTGGTGCGGAGCCCGTGAGGCAGGAGGCACCCGCCTGGGCTGCCGCCGGCTGGCCTGCCTGCCTGCCTGCCTGACTGACTGATTGACTGCCGTGCTGCCTGCCTGCCTCCTCCTGCAGTGGGAGCGGCGATGGTCTCTGTCCCAGACAACGTGATTGTGCGTTGGTCCGGCTCGGTCGGCGGCGCCGGCTCAAACATCGGCAGCAGCGGTGAGGACGGGGCAGGGCGGGGAGGCGAGCGGGTGGCGGGGGCTGGGGCCCCGGCGCTGCGGGGAGAGCGGCACGTCGCGGGGCGTCGTGGCGCCGCGGCCAGGCGCCGGGAAACGGGAGCGGGGTGCAGTGAACCAGAAACGGGCGGGCATGGCGCCGCGGTGTCTGCGCGTGCGGGGGACGGGCATCCTTTGCCCGCTTCCCCACCCCCCTCGCTCCATGCTGCTCTGCCTAAACCCGCCCGCCCGCCCGCCCGCGCTGCGCGGCCTGCGCCCCTCCCCCTTGCAGTGGTGCAGCTGATGGCGCTGGGTGGCAGCACGCCGGGGCACAACGTCGCCACCACCTCTTACAACGCGACCTCCGACGAGCGATACGTGGCGGCGTCGTGAGTGGCCGAAAGCTGCTGCGCTGTGCCTGCTGCGCTGCGCTGTGATGTGTCTGCTGTGCTGCGCTGTGTGCTGGTCTTTCTGCCTGCCTGCCTGCCTGCCTGCCCGCCTGCCCGCCTGCCCGCCCGCCCGCCTGCCCGCCTGCCTGCGTGTGTGTGGGCGTGGCCGGCCGGGCCGGCCCTCGTCTGATGCACCTTCCCTTTGAAGTTGCCAGTTTGCCCTGTTTGCTGTGCCGTGGGCTGCCCAGGAAGGTTCCCGGGAAACCCCGGGGCTTGAGAGGTTTCTGTGAGAGAGAGAGAGCGACCCCCGCCCCTCACCCAGCCCCTCCTCCCCTTCCCTCTGCCGCCCCACCCCGCCGCCCACACCGCAGGGGCACCAGCTTTGCCTGTCCCCAGGTGTCGGCCGCCGCGGCGCTGCTGTTTGCGGCGGCGGCGGCGCGCGGGCGGCCCGCCAGCTATGCAGAGGTCAGGCAGGCCATCCTTTCCACCACGGTACCTTACCAGGACCTGCTGCCGCCCTACACCAGGTGAGATTGTACCAGCATAAATATCTACTATATACATTGTTTCAGCCGATAACGCAAAAATTGTTCGTCAGCATGCGGGGCTGCTGCCTGCTGTGGGGCTGCCCCTACCAGACCAACACCTCGAAAACTGGGGCGGGCATGCCGTGCGGCTGGGTGGCGGGCGCGCGGGCAGGCCTGCGGCCACGATGCCAGCCAGGCTGCCGCCCGGGTGTGGGTGGCAGCAGGCTGGGCAGGCCATGGTGCGGCAAGCAGGGCTTGCATGGCTTCAGCATTAAGCACAGCACACTTCTTTGCCTGCTTACTGGGGTTTTGGCTCACCCTCCCCTCGCTCCCCTGCTCTCTCCACCCGTCTTCCCCGCAGCACTGGGGGGATGCTCAACGCCGGCGTGGCGCTGGAGCTGCTTCTGTCCACACGACCCTGGCCGCCGCCCTCCCCGCCTCCACCCCCACCCTCCCCACCCTCGCCGCCACCCTCGCCGCCGCTCGTGGGCGACGCGCCGCCGCCCGCGCCGCCTCCGCCGGCGCCACCTCCCGGTGAGCCCCCCGGCGGCCGGCCTGCATGCCCTACTTCTGCCTTGCCTGTCACCTTCCAGCCACCTTCCGGCCACCTTCCAGCCACCTTCCCGAGCCTATGCTCCTGCCTGCCAGCAGAGGGCGGCTCGTGTGCTGCCCCGCTGGCGCCGCCGCTGCTCGCCTGCTCCTGCCCTCGCTTGCTGCTCCCTGCTCGCAGCCATGCTGCCGCTCACTGTCCTAGTAAGCCCCCTCTAGCAACCAGCATCCTCGCCGGCCCCCCCCACCTAGTCCCACCACTCTGCGCCCCACTCTCTTCCCCTCCCTGCCTGCCGCAGACGGGCTCGAGCGCCGCCGCGGCGAGGTGCGCCTGTTTGGCACCGCCGGCGCCAGCTGGCACGCTTTCCTCGACCCCTTCAACCAGCCCCAGGTCAGGAGCAAGGAGGAGTGCACCACAAGTGAGTCGTACTGCTATGGTGCTGCTGTACTGCTGATGTACTGCCATGGTACCCGGGCTTCCGCGCCTCCGCTGCGCTGCTGCGTGGGAGCAGCGGCCCGCCGTGTGAGCGCCAGCTTGTGGGCTGGCTGGGCCTTTTGAGGCGCCGGCGCCAGCTGCCAGCCCACACGCTGCGGTCGGCCGCGCCGCCGCTGCGCCCCAGCCGCGCTCGGCTGCGCCTGCGGTTCATGTACCGCCCCTTGGTACCGCCCGCACCGGCCGTACTGCTCGCACGCCACGCATGTCCCGCCCCTGGTGTACCGCTTGTACCGCAGTGTGCAAGGAGGACCCGCGCTGCGCCCGCTACCTGTACATCACTTATCCGGAGGATTCCATGCCGCTCTACATCTATGTCGAATGCGGCGCCGCCGCCCTCGTGCCGCCCACCTGCCTGCTGTGGAGCGGTGCGCGGGGGCGGCCTTTCAGTTTTTGAGCTAAACACGCCAGCATTGTGATTGTTGCGTGTGTGTGTTGTACATGCATCCCCCCGAAGGATGCATGTGCACTGTTAGGTTGCTGTGGTTGTGGTGGTTTGCGCATGCCGTGCTGTGCTGTGCCGGGGACTCCGCCGCAGCTCTGCGTGCCCCGCGACAGCTGCCGCTCACGCCCACACCGCTTTCCCTCCCTCCCTCCCTCCCGCGCCTGCCTGCCTGCCTGCAGGCGATGCAGCAGAGTGTGCCGCCGCCGAGGGCGAGGAGGAGGCTGAGGGCCCCGCCTGCCCCTGCACCAGCAACACGCAGGCGGCAGACCTTCGATGGGTCGAGTCTGGGACGGGTGCGTGCGGCCGTACCGCTCGATTGTACTGCCTCTGTACTGCTTGCGTGGAACGCTTGCCTGTGTTGCTTTGGCACTGCTGTACCGCTTGCGTGTGCTGCTGGCACTGTGCCGCTTCCGGCCTGTTGCGGCGCCGCTGCTGCTGGCGTGGCGTGCCTGGCATGCCGCTCTGCCTCTGCGTGGCGGCGTGCTGCTGCCGCGTGCTGCCGTGGACACCGCCCGCTCAGCAGTACTTGCTTGTTTGTACTGATTCCGCACGGCCGTTGTGCTGCGCTGCGCGCCGGTGGGAGTCGCTACAGCGTGCATGCCATTACACAAGTCCCTGCCTTGCGCCCTTCCCCGCGCACCCGCTTGCTCCCGCCGCAGTCGTCCGGCCTCCGCCCCCGGCGCCGCCCTCGCTGCCTCCGCTCCCGCCGCCGCCGCTCCTGCCGCCGCCGCGTCCGCCGCCGCCGCAGGTGCGGGCCTCGCGTGCTGCTGTCGCTTGTGCCTGGAGGCTGCCCGCCAGATGCCTGCCCTGACGCATGCCAGTACAGCTTCTGCCCCTGGTGTACTGTGTAGCCAAGCTGCGCCTGCCTCAGCCTGTATGCATGCTTTGCAACATGCTTTGCCAGCCCTGCAACCGTGCCGCGGACTGCCACCACCACCCCTCTTGTTGCAGTCGCCGCCCTCGCCGCCGCCGACACGT